GAAAATCCTGCAATCCCTTTAGAATTGGTACTCTCTCACTAAAGAAGGCAAGGGAGTTTCTACGGTTGACGTCTTTTTAAATTTGAATAATATTGCTTTCAGCAGCCTAAAATTAGACCCATTGGCAAATGGAAACCCCCGCCTATGGACTTCTTCAAACTTAATTTTGATGGGAGCTCATTTGGAAACCTAAGATTAACAGGAGTGGGAGGTGTTATGTGAAACCATGAAGGCTCCATTATTTTTTCTTATGTTGGTCCTTGTAGAGTAGCCATAAGTGTGGTTTGGAGTTGTTTCTAGGCAAAGGGAATGTGGGTTCACTTATTGTTGAAGGTGATTCCCTTAATGCCATTAGATGGTGCAATGGTCAACAAATGGTGCCTTGGTCCATCTGGCCTATTTGGTTAAAAATCTCGGATATTTGTACCTCAGCTACTCTTTATGATAGCTGATGGACTAGTAAATTTGGGGCTTCTTTATCCTCCTACCTTGTTGCTGATGAATTGATCTCTATCTTGTAATATGTTGGTTTGATACAATTATAATAAAAGCCTTTGATCTTGTCAAAAAAAAAAAAAAAGGGTGAGGTTTGTATAAGGTGTCTTATATTATTGAAGTAAGGTGCACCTCAAAACTATGCCAAAAATGTAGTTTCAATGCTGCAGATATTTGTCCCCAATTATAAAATTTAAAGTTTTAGAAATGGTAATGATCAAGTAGATTTAAGATACTTAAAAATGTTGAAAATGGGCGGTCTAGATAATATGTTAGAAGATGAACTATTTTTAAGACTAGAAATCCCTTTTTTTTAATGTCTATGAATCACAAGGTCAATATGATCGATTTGACGGTTTTCCAGCATAGAAAAAGCTGTGTAGTGGGTTTTTTAGGTGCACCTTACTTATACAGTATAAAGTTGGCACCTTATATAAACTTTTTCCAAAAAAAGATCATGCTTATCTCAGTTCGCAACAAGACCTAAAGATGTCAAACACAGAAAGCTAAGATTGACTTGTTCAATAAAGAGCGACTAATATTCTACAGCGATATAGACATTATGTAAAAAGATGAAATACCTCTTTTAAATCATTACTTAGACACTATAAATACGAAACCCTCAAGAAATCACAGGTCAGAAGTCCAAAAAAGCTTTAGATCAGAGCTTGGATCTTAAACAAAAAAAAAAAACATCCTTGATCTCATGCATTAATGGTTTTCTTTTGAAGGTGTAAATGATCAAATAGAGGGCTAAAATATGAGCATGTTTGATCATCTGAAAAACTAAAATGAACGATAAACAAAAGGTCCAAAATAGAGCCTTTCTAGACATGTTTCTATATTTAGATTCCTGACCATGGTGGCCTAGATGAAAGATCTAGAAAATTTCATACCCGTATTAGATGGAATTTAAGAGGATCGACTCATCAACAAGTGCATTCCTGAATGCATCTAAAACCAGTGTTGGAAACTAGTATTCGGAGTGAGTACTTGGCCCATACCCGATTCCAGTACTCGGAGTCTGAGTAACTCGGCTCGAGTTCTATAGCAACAAAAAAAGTTAAAAATTATATTGATAAAAAAGAAATATATGCTTAAAGTAAGATTCAATAAAATACTTCAAAAAGTGGTTAAAAAATAGATTTAAAAATACCAACTTTTGATTGGAGATATTTTCAAAATAATCTTAAAAAATAAAAAATGTAAAATTAATTATTCATGGCCAAAACACTTTTCAAAATTTGCCAAAATATAAAAAATACATCACAAATAAATTCTTTAGTTTTTGGGTTTTTTTGTATTTTTTTAATTTTTTTTTGTAATATCCCGAAGTGGTCGGATTGAGTAGTCAAACATTGTCTGAAACCCCCCATTTTACTTTGGGATTGGACATGATGAAACCATTGCCTGATGTGGACAATAATTAGAAATACCCCAAACCAGTGTTTTAAAACACGACGAGTCGAATCGGACTCGTTTGGTTAGACTCGGAAATACGAGTCCCCGTTCCGGTTCCAACCGAAAATCGGGAACCGCCCGGTTTTAGAGTGGAACAGCCGGTTCCCATCCAGTTCAGCCCGGTTCTAGACTGGAACCGCCGGTTTTTGGGTTTTTTTGTATTTTTTTAATTTTTTTTTGTAATATCCCCAAGTGGTGGGATTGAGTAGTCAAACATTGTCTGAAACCCCCCATTTTACTTTGGGATTGGACATGATGAAACCATTGCCTGATGTGGACAATAATTAGAAATACCCCAAACCAGTGTTTTAAAACACGGCGAGTCGAATCGGACTCGCTCGGTTCGACTCGAAAATACGAGTGCCCATTCCGGTTCCAATCGAAAACCGAGAACCGCCCGGTCCTAGAGTGGAACCGCCGGTTCCCATCCGGTTCAGCCCGATTCTAGAGTGGAACCACCGGTTCCTATCCGGTTCATCCCGGTTCTAGAGTGGAACCGCCGGTTCCCATCCGGTTCAACCCGGTTTTAGAGTGGAGCCGCCGGTTCCCATCCGGTTTAGCTCGGTTCATACACGTAACACATGACACGCATGTACGAGCGTGCCCCCACACACACTCACACACGCACACGTATGTCCGGGGCGCACGTGCAAGCATGCCCCCACGCACACTCACATGCGCACGCATGTGTCCAAGCGCACGTGTGAGCATGCGCCACGCACACTCACACGTGCACACGTGTGTTCGAGCGCACGTACGAGGTTGCCCTAATATTTTTATATACATTTTATAATTCATATTGCATAAGTATTTAGATACCAAATTTG